AAACCCCAAACCCCAAACCCCTAGAAACCCTGGCCCTCGGCCTCCATCCTTCAACCCTAAGCCCACAGCCCAGGAGTTCGAAGCCCTCAACCCTGAACCTTCAGCCCGACACCTTCCAACCATGAGGGTAGCTCTCTGAAACAGGGGGTCCCTTTTGGGGTCCTTTTATAAGGGTGCCTTACTATATTGGGGACCCAAAAAGGGGCCCGAATTTAAAGAGCCAACCATGAGGGTAGCTCTCTAAAATAGGGTCCCCTTTGGTTTTGGGGTCCTTTTGAGAATAAATTGGGGTCCCTTTTGGTTTTGGGGTCCTTTTGAGAATAAAATGGGGTCCCTTTTGATTTTGGATCCTTTTGAGAATAAAATGGGGTCCCTTTAGGTTTTGGGATCCTTTTGAGAAGAGTGCCTTACTATATTGAAGACCTAACAAGGGGCCCGAATTTAGAGAACTACCCATGAACGAAAAGGAGTTCAGGGTATCATCTTTGGGATGGGTTTACTTTAACAAGGGTCCCCTATTCAGCGGTCCTTCCACTTTTAATGGTATGGGCTTTGGGTTTGCGATAGCGGGCTTGGTGTAGCCCTAAACTCAGAATCCGAGAACAGGCGGAATCTGCATGCCGGATAGCGATGGCCTCTACACGACGCCTGGAAGCGCAGGGCCGAAATACAGGGATGGTTTGGGGTTTCCGGTTCAACCTGCAGTCAACAGTAAACTCCAAAACCTACCATGCTGTATTTAACCCAAACCCCAAAAGCCCCCAAACTCCAAACATTACACTCCGTAATGTCTAAACCCTGAACCGTAAGCCGTTTGGGGGTTTTGATGCGGAGTTTGTTTGCAATCTGCGGCTTAAGGAACGCACCTGAGCTGAAAGCCGCGCCTCCAGAGGTTTGTAGGGTCCTTGATGAGTTTATCTACCGCTAAATGCTAAGCTTCAGGCTCAAGGGTTGTTATCATTTAGGGTTTAGGGTTTAGCGTGTAGGGTTGATGTTTCAAAGGCTTTAGAAAGGCTTGGGAGCGTCGAAACTTAGGGTTTTTCAGGTGAGGCTCTTCGAGGGGTTGGCGTGTTCAACTTGTGGGGCCAGTGAAGGGGTTTAGGGAGGCCGGGTTGGGACGGTTTAGGGTTTAGGGTTGATAGGGTTTATCGGGCTTATAGAAGTTTATAGGGCTTATAGGGTTTATAGGTTTGTTTTTAAAATAGGGTTTTGGGGTTTGGGGTTTACGGTTTAGGGCCCCAGTGGGATCCTGTTTTCGTGGTCCGCACCGGTCGGGTCGAGTTGTGCGTCGTCGTCGTCGTCGTCGTCGTCGTCGTCGTCGTAGTAGTAGTAGTAGTAGTAGTAGTAGTAGTAGTGTGGTATTCTTCAGTGTCGCATGTCTTCTACAAGACAGCAAACCCAACATTACTTAATTAAGGAATAGACCTTGGATACTGCCCCCACTTAGTAACAGCTGAGTAATTTTCGTAATATGGGTCAAAAAGGCCCCTAATAGTAGCCCTATCATGGACTCAAAATAGACCCTAAACTGTACGGGGTTTACACAAGTCTGGCATGTCTTCCACAGGACAGAAAACCCACTATTCCAACAGCAATAATGGAATAGACCCTAAACCCTAAACCCTATAAGTCGTCGATTCTTTTCATTTAAGGGGGGCCGAGGCCCTCCTTGGGGAGTCAAGAGCTCCGGACCCTGAAACAACTGCGATGAAGATTCGGGGTTTCAGGGTTTGGGGTCTAGGGTTTAGAGTTTCAGGGTTTGGGGTATAGGGTTTGGGGTATAGGGTTTAGGGTTTCAGGGTTTAGGGTTTCGGGTTTAGGGGTTGGGGGTGGGGTTTAGGTGGGGTTTAGGGTTTAGGGTTTGGAAGTGGGGTTTAGGGTTTGGGGTTTGGGTTATGCTGCATGGTTTCCTTCGGCATTATGAGTCCAAAAAGCAGTCAACCACGATCCGTGACTTGATGGTATCCCAGTGGTTTGTTTCGACGGAGCCCGAGCAGAATGGGTGACACCTCCGTCACAAATCTGGGAGAAGCTCACGCAGCCCTTGGGTTCGCAGGGTTCGGCATAATTTTTTTTGCCATCTGCATCCCTAATGGACAGTTCTAAATCCGGGGCTGCATAGGATTGAGGTTTAGGGTTTAGGGTTTCGGGTTTAGGGGCTTTCAACCGGACTGGCCGAGTCTCGACAAACTGAAGTTGTGAAGGTTTGACAACGACCTCGAGGTGACCAGGCTTTCAGCCACAAGCCCAAAGCTACACTCTTCAGCCCTAAACCAACCCACTTACTACCCCCACCTCGGCCCGAAGCCCTAAACCCTAAACCCGAAACCCCAAAGCCTGGATCTGTGCAAGGCCTGTAAGGCCCTTGGCCCCAAACCTGCCCTTTGCCAAGGAACTATTCCAATTCTGATGGCTACTACTTCTTCAAGGATCAGCCGCCGCCTTAGGATTTTGGGCTCATGCTTTAGGGACTTTAGGGTTCATATTTGGGGGCTTGGGGTTTAGGGTCCGCATTTCTGTGCTTTTCCCTTCCGTGTTTCTTTGGCCCATCTTTGGGGAGTGGGCCTTCGGTGAGTGCAGAGAACCCAAAATGGGATTTCAAGTGCTGCAAGCTTTGGGTTTATGGCCCTATTGGGTTATGTCCGACCAAATATCGGCTTTAACACACCCGGTAGCTCTAGAACTTTTAGCGCAGCCCATATTTCTCACTTGTAAAAAACAATGGAAACCCAACAATCCTCGAAGAGCCATGTAAGACCATTTCGTGCACGGGCCTGAATCATGAATGATATTGTTCCTTACTTCGAGTTCTTTATAAAGTTATAGCAACCGACCCCAGAGGCCACTGTTCTAATGAAACCTTCTCTCCCCTGAGCCCTAAACCCTAAAGCCCCAAACCCTAAGCCCTTAACCCTAAAACCCTAAGCCCCAAAACCCTAAACCCCAAAGCCCCAAAAACCCTAAGCCCCAAAACCCTAAACCCCCAAAACCCCAAAACCCTAAAACCCTAAAGCCGGAAAGCCCTAAAACCCAAAACCCCAAACCCTAAAGCCCTAAACCCTAAACCCTAAACCCTCTAAACCCTAAACCCCCTAAGGGAGCCCTTAAAAGAAGCCCTAAATCCTACACCCTAAACCCTAACGGAGCCCTTAAAAGGGAGCCCTAAGATCTCAGGGTGGCCACCGTCTTCGGGAGCTCCGACATGGGCCTCTTCCGGTGCAGCCATGGGGCGGGCGCCGCCTGCAAGGCCCTTTTAAGGGGGGGTTTGAGGGGTTTAGGGTTTAGGGGTTCCTTGAAAGGGTACTATAAGGGTTCCTTTAAAGGGTACTATAGGGGCTGAGGGGTTTTGGGGTTTAGGG